GTACATAAAGGTTGACTGTGACATCGTTTCAGCAATGATGGAACTGACAGAGGATGGTAACCTAACACAGGAAGTGAAGGATGCATTAGCCAATTTTGTATGCTTAATGTACTGCCCAAAAGGTATCCATATAACAAGTATTCCTGACCTAAGGTGGTATTTATTTTGCAAACATCTGGCAGAGAGCAGCAAGTTGCCTCCTACAGTTAGGTGCTCTTGAAGAACACATTGAACGTGTGCTTGTACAGAGTAGGGTGTGGTGCCAAGCAACTGTGATGTGGCAACATCTTCTTGACCCGCTCAAACATGGTTATTATCAGAATGACCAGGGTGAGATACTACCTGTTATCACAAAGGTCCCACCTGCACCAAAGGCCATTGTAGAGTTGGTCAGATGTCAGTGTAAAGCTAATTGTACTACCCAGAGGTGTTCATGCAGAAGACACAAGTTGGCCTGCACTGACCTTTGTTTGTGTGGAAGTGGCTGTGAAAATGATGCAGACTGTAATGCTGAAAATGACACTCAGAACAGTGATGAAAATCTGTAAAAAGCACATTTCTGAATGATATATATAGACCTATTAGATCCTTCTATTTTCACCCTTATAATTAACAATACTCCATTCTTGCTATAATATGTATTATATAGTTATGTCACAAATATAGTCGTAATAAATTACTTTGTTTGTTGCTTTTCTATTATCCTAGGCATTATTATGGGGCCTCCATTTGGTTCCTTGACCCAGAAAACATAGTATTAGCCTATTTAACTATGTTTCTAGGTTGAATTAAAGGTGGGATATCGAAAATTATGTATTTTATGGCGGCCATTTTGAAAATCCAAGATGGCGGCCATCCTGGTGTTTGTGCAAATGCTCACATTGGTTGTCGGATTCTCCATGCTCTGAAGATTCTAAAAATGTATAGTTTTGCTAATCTCCAAAATATTTGAACGAAATTACATTTCTTAACATAGTGAACCAGACTAGTAGTCAAGTCAGTGTAACACTTCCAATAACTTTCCCCATTTTTTGATGTGTTTCCCAAGCTTCCCAGTTTTATTTGCAATATAAAATTCAGTGTTCTGAATATTGTAGGTATTTTTATAGTTAAAATGAACAAGCAGCCTCTCGGCTGAGATAGCTCCGCTGTTAGCAATGCACATTTCAATTAAAGAACAGAAAGTATCATTAAAAAATGAACAATATGTATAGTATCAAAACAATCAGACTTGCGGTTTTCAACAAGATGTGGAAAATATCACTTTTTACCAAAAATTACAAAAATATTCATCAAAATTAGAGAATTAAAGATATCATCATGATATGAACAAATCTGAGTTAGAACCACATGTAGTACATATATATGTAACATCAAAGCAATTGGACTTGAGGTTTTCACAAGAAGTCGAAAATATCACTTTTTACCAAAAATGACAAAAATATTCACCAAAATTAGAGAATTAAATATATCATTACAAAATGAACAAATCTGAGAGAGGTCCACATGTAGTACCTATATATGTAATATCAAAGCAATTGGACTTGCGGTTTTCAACAAGAAGTCGAAAATATCACTTTTTACCAAAAATGACAAAAATATTCACCAAAATTAGAGAATTAAAGATATCATTACAAAGTGAACAAATCTGAGAGAGGTCCACATGTAATACCTATATATGTAATATCGAAGCAATTGGATATGCGGTTTTCAACAAGAAGTCGAAAATATCACTTTTTACCAAAAATGACAAAAATATTTACCAAAATTAGAGAATTGAAGATATCATCATAATGAAATGAACAAATCTGAGAGAGGTCTACCCAAGATATATATACACCAAGTATCAAAGCATTCAGGCTTGTAGTTTTCAAGAAGAAGTTGAAAAAGTAAAACATTGACACGGACGACGACGGACAATCACTCATATGATAAGCTCCGCTCGACAAAGTCGACAGCGGAGCTAATAATAATGAGATTTGTTAACCAAATTGTGTCTTGGCTCAATATAGTGACAGAAAAGTATACCCATCCTTTTATGTATAGTAATGCTACTCAACTCAAGGCAATTCATATTTTTTTTGTTTTTTTTTGTTATATATTTTATTTCTGCTGCTGTAATTTTTTTAACACAGTTTTAAAACATATTATTCTCCATCAACACGCATCACAACATCAAAACTTGTGGCAGTAAATGCATCAAAAATTTTTTTTTTGTAATGACACATTCAAAATTATTTAAATAAAATAAATAGTAAGATAATTTTTGCATTTCTTCTTACTCTCACAGAGGCATTGAAGGTACCGCTGACGCTTCTACCTTCAAGTACTTTCAACAATCCAAACTTTAGATTTCACATACATGGAAATGGCTATCATAGAGGTCTTGGATGGAAAGATGGAAAAGCCGACTTACCTGATATGCTCCAAAGAAGATCTGCAGTATTAGTGCTACTGTAATAGCAATGGAGAATGTGACAGATGATATGATGATGATCTTAAGGCCCTCTCCAGCGCATGGCAACTGGTTTCCTCCTGAGCTTTCATCCAGCTGGAGCGGTGTGGATTCTGATCGAACAGATGATTTGTCTGGGCTTGGTTTTGCTGCAGAAAACTGATCATGATCTGAAAATGACACAAAATGGGCGTGGTCAGTAGAATGCAATCGGTAGACTTTCGGTGTTTAATCGAATTTGTCTCATAGTTGCATGTAAATCACCGAATTCGCGAGAATGGTAGCTCTGGGTAGACTTCTAGGGAATATCAAATATTGCTTAAATTGAAGAAAGAAAAAAAAACATTTAGGGCCGTGACAGTCGCAGTAGCAAATACGTAGTTATATATTTTTTGGATTAAATTTCGTACACAAGCCGATTAAATGTAATACAAAGGGTATAAACAAATCGTAACTGAAACGGGACGAAATCAAGTCGGAGAATTAACATACAGCATACGAGTAAATGGGATGTTTTTAAATAAATTTGATAAATGATGACCCGACCCGTCAATCGACAATTTGACCGCGGGACTAATGTTTGTTTTTGCAATGGGAAATTTACACTTACTGCTGGTAGGACCATCATGCGCGTTATCTTTCACGTCATTCGAGGTACCGGTAGTTTCTTCTAATGTCGAATAAGACCCGGTGGGTTGCGCGTCGTCGTCGGAATGAGTCGACATTTTGATTACGTCTTGTTGATTTTCAGTAATTCCGGTTTCCAATCAACAGCTGTTACAAATGTCAGCAACCAAGACGAGTGACGTATCAGTATTTATATCCCACAGCGAGGCTTTCCCTTTCACAGTACTCCTTAGGTTTTATAACATTGGTAGCAAGACCTTCTAGCTTCGGCGCGTAACTGTCCGTCATAGAGGGCGTCACAGAACTACACATTTTCGATAGACAAGCGACGGATACTGCACTGTAGTAAAATAAAAATGATTTTTCTCTGTATTCTGATCAGCAGTATTTTTAGAATCGCCATGTATCACCTTTTCTTGTCGTTACAAAAAAAAAAAAGTGGGTCAACAAAGATTTTAATTATATTTATGATTAGGCTTCCACTATGTTTTTTTTCGAATCTGTTACACACTAGTTATATATTCATATGGAGATTGTGATCCATACATTCATTCAAATAAATGTGATCGACATACATTTATATTCATACTGAGAATGTGAAACGCATTTGTTGTTATGTGGAGATTGTAAATCACACACTTGTATTCATATGCAGATTGTAAATCACACAATAGTATTTATATAGATTTTGTGAACCACACAGCTGTATTTATGTAGTGATTGCGAACCACCCCCCCATATTCGTGTGGAGATATTCCACGAACATGTGTTCATACACAGATTGAGTTCACACGCTTGTGTTCATGTGGAGATTGTAAACTGCCACTTGTATACATTTGAAGTTTGTGAAGCACATTTGCACTCGTATTGAGTATGAACCACACTTGTAATCATATGGAGGTGAATCACACACACGTATGGCAACAATAAACCACATATTCATATGGAGAATGTGAACCACACTTGTATCCATATGAACAGAGGTGAACTATCTTTAATGAGTCCAATTTAACATACCGTAATGACCGATTGGAACGAGACATAGGTGTATGTCGTAGACAGGGACGAAGCCAGTGCATACTTTCGTAATAAAAAAATTATCACATTTATTCCTGATAAATGTTACATAGTCATTGATTTTGGGGACTTTTTAACAAATACAATAAATTTGTTTGGGAGAAAACGAGTTTGAAAACGTGCAAAAATGGGCCATTTTGGAACAATTTCCATGGGAAATAAATAGTATTTGTCAGAATTCCCTAATAATTCAGGACAACGTCAGGAACCTTATACTATATTATTATGTACCTGAACACAATTTTGAGAGACGATATAATGTAATGGCTTGAAAACATTTTCATCGGTGTTTGACATATTTTTTGGGCAAAAAGCAGTTCGGTGACTACCGGTACAATTTCTTTCTGGATTTTGTGAGCAACAGCAGAATGTAAAACCTTGATGTATATCATTCAAGCTCTCTCACTGTCGAGAAGCGAAAAGTGAGCAATACCACAGACAGTGCGAAACGGCTTGACATACCACTCATCCATTTTGTCCCCAAATGCCCGTAGCTTGTCTTCAGTAGATGTGTTGAGGGGGAGGGGTGGATCAGAAAACATAATTGCGTGGCTATTTTTATCTCCAGATAAGTTGCGACTTCCCACACAAGTCAGAAACTCTGTTATAGATGAAGAAGTGCTAATCAATAATCCAACCTTAAGCCAGCCTTTTTTTTTTTCATGAAATGTCGCGCTGTGCCAAAAATGAATGTGGTTTCTATGGCAATCATATTTACCTTCAGCAGTTACAACAGGGAAATACTAAGAAATGTTGTCATATATGACATAAATAAACACAATTACAAAGACTACTATGACAAGCAGTTTATTATTTACATGATTCAAAATCAGTCATACACAGAAAAAAACAATCTAACTTTCAAATCGTTAACTATGTGTGTGTGAATATTCAAGCTGTGCAGACCTTCAATACAAGTAGATCAATAATCAAGCTGTTCTTATATTGTCTAAGCTAGGTGGTAGACTGCCGGCCAACAAAATACAGGCAAATAGACAGGGCTCTCTAAACAGAAGAGACGTCTGCACAAGTCGCGTACCTGAAAGGAGATCTCACATTCCCGGAATCAGATCTCACTCACAAGACTGATTATAATTAAAATCAAACAATTTGTCGCCATTACGAAACATACATATAGACATAAAAATATTAAATACATGTAATATAAATACTCTCATTTTGCACAAATCAACTTTTAAGTTTGTAAGAAAACATGTTAAAAAGAAATTGTAGCATTTAGTGACAGGGGAATACAAATCATCTTATTTTTAAATCAAGTCATTCTGTACAACTCACTGAACAGGTAATAATAACAAAATATATATTTTCTGAAAGCTGCGATAATGGAAGATAAAACTTTTTTCACTGACAAAAGATTACAAAAACAGCCAAGAAATACCGGTATCGTGTTTTACAAAATGAGAGGACTGAGGTTTTTGATCGTTCTTTCAGCCGACTGGTATGAATTCAATACTGAACGAATTGTGTCCCGAATTTTTGTGTCGACAAAATAATAAATCACAGTTCATCAATGTGTTCAGCCCAAATTTTCTTGACCAGCGTATCATATAGCCGAAAGACAAATACAAATAAACAAATTTAAGAGGTATTAGTCACTCAATATCTTGCAAGCAAAATTTAAAGAGTGCCAGGTTCATTAACACCCAGCAATGGCACCGATTTGATTAAAAACTGTTGTTGTTCCGTAATGGAATCCCTCAAACAAAAAACAGAGTGTACAGTTGTATTGTCCTATGCACCAGCTTCCTGAAAATATGTATTCATATGTACAATCAATTATATAAAAAAAAAAGATCTTAATCATGAATCAATTCTTGAAGAGCAGGGGTTGTCACACTGCATCCTGTTCCATGTGGGACTCTGAGCGTCAAACACAACACGTGTAAAATACACTGTTTGTTTACATAGAACTGCATGACAAGGACCGACCTTAAACGTATTTACCCCAGCCACCACAGATGCAGTGAAGAAAAAAATGATACAAAGAAAATCTTGCTGAATAATTGAATAATAGTAAACTGATTTAAGTAATTTGTATGTGACACATTAAAATACAATAAGCTGCTAAACAGTTGGAATACAACTGGCGGCAAGAATTCCTGCATTTTCACCAAATTTTGGCATAGGGGTTCAATCAATCAAGGGTACAATGAATGCTCCCATTATTTTGTTCCCCAAATTTGATGGACGAGCCCCCAACCCCCACCCACGCCACCCAATGTCTCACTATACCTTGCCTGCCCTAATGCTAGTTGAACTTGCTCAGCTGGCGAGAGCATTTCGATCAACTTGCATAGAAAGAGAGGAATGTTGTATCACCAAATTTTCAAGCAAGAGTACAATGGCAGGTAATTATAATTTAGTCTCTTGAAATTTTTAGAATTACAGGGTTTCGTAATTATACTGCCGCCCAACGAAAAAAAATTAATGAACTTTGGCCACAAAACAAAATTGTGCATTCCTAATGATTATGCAAATTAGGAGGCTAAAAAAACTTAATTCATTAGGTGTTAACTTTTCTTCTTTATTTTTTGACCCGCTTTGTATTTTTCTGCGAGATACACACGCCAGCCAAGCAGTTAAACTGACTCCTGAGTAATACAGGGAAAAAAGGCCATTTAAATTTTAAAAATATACATAGACACACCATAAAAGTATAGAGTTGCACAAGGTATATTTTCATC